AAAAAAAAAAAAAAATATAATAATAATATTATATAATTTATTTGATTTGGTTTATATGTATTTTTTGGAATTATTAATAAAGAAATCGTTAAGGAGAGAGGCAGTAAATAAAAGATTTTTGCAATTCTGCTGCTTGTTCGCGCCGCGGTCGGCGCGTAGCAACTCAAGTCGTGTCACGTGGGACCGCTGGGCCCCACCAGTGACTCCGCGCTTACGTCACGCGCGACGAGGTAATGAGCATAGCTCATTAATTATCTCGTCGCGCCTCGTCCAGTAGTCCAGTTGCGCAGCCACGAGCGCTGCATTATTCTCTCTCTCTCTCTCTTGCGTACTATCATCGTAACTCTTGTGTCTAAGTTATTTTACCCCTCTCCATCCTCGCCCCACGTAACAATATATATACAGTGTAAATATGAACATTTATTCATATTTATAAATAAAAGATTTTCAGTTTTTGCTTTGGGATCATCAGCTTACCCTAACTTTTGTGCCTTTGGAAGGTATGTAGATAATTTGCTTGGTGAACTTGGAGGAGAACGATTACTTCCTTTATCCTTAGGCGATGAATTGTGTGGTCAAGAACAAGCATTTCAATCTTGGGCTACTAACGTTTTTAGCGTATGTAATCTTTTTAATTGATATTAAATTCGTTTACTAATTTATTGAATACTAGAAAAGTTATTTCCTCGAGCGCGCCTCTCGTGCACCAATCTCCGTCTAATTCATTAATGTTGAAAAAAATTTCATTTATATATTATAAAAATCATCTATTTGATTGTAAGTAAATGATAATCGTCTTTAATCACACAATTAACTTAATTATCATAATGGTCTTATCGATAAATCTGTCAGACCAAATTTAAAATATTCTAAAAATTAACAAAATTTTCTTTTCTTAATTTTGATGTGAATTCTTAAAAAGAATGTCAAATTGACCATCATAAAATTGAAAATATAGATGAGTGATTGCACTAGATGTTGTTATAAATATCAGATTATTTTATTAGAATATTATAAAATGAATCCAAATAATATCAAGCCTAATAAATGTAGTGTTTTTAATTCAAAATTATTATTATTTCTTCTTTTACACTATTAGAGACAAGTTTTTTTTTCTGTAATTCAATAGTTATCTTTATCAGTTCTAAGCTTAATCAATTGTTTGTAACATAAACTAACAGAATATCACAAAATATAAGGATCACAATAATTATCAAATTAATTTGAAAAGTCAGAATATCATAACAGAAGTAGTTTGGGATTGTAATTATTGCAAAAAATTTCTGATTGATAGTAAAATTGATCATTTATAGAAAAATTTCTTATGAAAAATACATTTTCAAGGTCTCATGTGAAACATATTGCTTGGATGACAAAGAAACATTTTTGGAGGCAGCTGACTCTTTAGGTTCAGAAACGATTTCTGCAAGCGTAGTTAGATTCATAAAATCTGATCTTCAATCATTATCAAAATGTAAGTACGTATTATAAAGTTACGGTCCCGACTTTTGTTTGGTCCCTATTTTTGCTCATGTTTGAATCAATTTTAATATAAGATCAAAACTTGATATGAGTATTTAACTAATATAGTTTTGTTATACATGTTCGGTTAGTACAACCATTTTTTTTTTTTCAATTTTTTGTTTACAATTAAATTGTTGATATTAATTGTTGAGCGAAAGTATGGACATGATTGAAAATAGGAACAGTGAACTTACCAATTATTAAATTATCTATGTAAATATCACGAATGATTTTTTGATACTCGTATTCTTTTATATTTTCTGTCAAAGCCTGTTATAACAACATAATTTGATCAGATAAGTTAAAGGGCGTATTATACCCATTTTTCGCGAAAATTTTAATTCTTATATCATTGCTTATGTTTCTGAAATGCGCTGTTGAATTTTGCTAATTCATGTATTCTAGTTTTTTGGTGAATATTTAGATTTAAGCTCCTCAAAAATCTCTTAAAACAGATGCAACTGGATGAAGACTGGTTAGAAGAAAAAAAACATGCTTCACACGATCAATGCTGATGTTATGTGTAGTCCTTAGATTCATGAGTTTCTTAATCGCAGGGAACCAAAATTCAAGGTCTAGTGTAATGAGATTGAAAAGAGCAGTGTAATTGAAGTTCTCAAAAGAAAACATGATGACATTCTTGTTTCGAAAAATGGCTGTTTTTGGCGATTTTACGGATTTTGGGCCTATTTTTGACGTTTTTCGACACATATTGCTATCCATATTGCCTTACACGTTAAGGCCCATAACAAAACTTCATCAGTTAGTTGTTGACATTTTTAGAAAGCTTTTTACATAGTTTTTTAAACGAAAAGTCTGGATCGAACTTGATTGGATTTCGTGTTTTTTGTATTTTTCAAGTTATTTCAACTCTACAAGCTCCTAGATTGCTCAAATCACTTTTCAATCGATTTTTTCGGAAAATTTCGACAATGACCGACAAAAAAGCTCCGTGTCACTTTTACTTTTGAATCATTCTACACTGATCTAGAAATTATTTGATTATTTGCAATTTTTAATGAATTTTGGAAAATTCGCTAAAATGGCCAATTTCGGGGCACTAAAAGTGTTTAGAAAGATCCAATTGTTCTAAAAATTTACCGGTCCCGATCATCGCGGCGCGCGTCATTATTTTTATTATTACGCCGCGAATTTGACTCTACAGACGCATCTCGCGAGTCCCGCCCCTCTCGGCGTGGACTACGTTCATCTCTTCTCGAACCTCGATTGTGTCTGCGCGAACCTTGATCATTTCGATCATCTCGGCTATCTCGACGCGAATACTTTTCATTCCTACTTGGCCTTCTGCACGTAGTTGCTTCATGACCTTTCAACCCACAATTTGAACACTTAAGTGTTGCACGCTTGTACTTAAAGCAATCTGGCGCTTCGTGGCCCGTCTTTGTGCACAGTTGGCACTTCCCGTTCTTATCATCAGTAGTACGCTCGCTCTCGCTATCTTTCGTTGTACCTGGATGTGAAGGCACGCCGATCAATCCCACAGATATTACATTCGATCCTACCACTGCGCGATATCGTAACTTATTCTCAATGTCCCCCGCTATATCAATTGCGTCTGCTAGACACCCGCGATTTTCCAATTGTACCTGCAGCTGCAGCGGTTCGTGTAGGCCTAGTAAAAAACAGTCCGTGACGCTGTTCTGGAGCGAATATATGGCAGCTTCTCGCTCAATTGCATTTATATCAGGGGACTGGCTATACGCGGCGATTGCATCCTCGTATAATGAGCGTACGTCGCTACCGAACTGTCGCGCGTCTACGTCGACCGCCTGTTTCGCATTATTTTTTTTTCTTTTTTTTTTTTTTTTTATAGATAGAGAAATGCGTTACGCACCGTAAGGAGGTTTGAGTTAAAATCAACCCCGAACCTCCCCGTGTGTGGGACTCGCCCTCAACCGATTTGCGTTGGTGAGGGAATACCCACTAAAACTCTATCTGCCCGAGCGATGGAAGTGCTCGGACGCGGCTTTATTTTGCGGTGCTGCCTTAGATGGTGGGAGACCACGTTCTTCAAAAGATGTGCGCGAGATGATGTCAAGGCTACCCTATGCCTTCTCTTCGACCTGCAGAGTTAATACCTGTATAACCACTGATGTGCGTGGTCATTTTACCGGAGCCAATTCATGTGCGAACCATGGAGACCTCTAAACGTGATGGAATCCAAACATTTGCTATATCCGAGTTCGCACATACTCGCGCAGCGGACCAGATACCCCGCCAGGAGATCGTGATCGAAGAGAACGAGATGTTATCGTTAGACGATGAAGCGCTGATGACTTGCGCATCGATCACCTTGACAACTTGATCCCTTACAGTGACGATATCTGGCTTCCGCAAGCCTTCTCTGGTATGAAAGTGCGGCTCCTGCCGGACGCTCCATCCCAACTGCCAGAGGCTACTGACTGCGATACGATAAATTGCATCGTGTCGCAGTATTCGGCCTCCATGAGTGCGGTGACAGCCCTGAATGACGTGAGCTGCCGTTTCAGTAGTACCACAGCCCGCTCGACACTCGATAGGCGGGCCACCGACTACGCGTCTGCCGCGTGATGTTCGAACACGAGTTGGGAGAGTATTGACCCGTACGCGATGGAATTGTACGTAGTCTCGTCCGGAGAGGGCCGCGCTGTTACGGTCTACCCACGAGTGGCTCGCGCGAACACGAGCACACTCGGAGAGCTCCTTGCCATCATTCGCTTGATGAAGTAGCGAAGCCCAGTACTTGCCACGAGCCTCCTGGTCGATAAGGGGCCGCCCATGAAAGGACAGCGCCGTTTCGGCCCATCGAATCGAACCCTTCACCGAGCGATGACAAAAGACACCTCTAACGGCGGCACAGGAAGACTCAGCCTGTTTGAGAATTGTTTAAACAAACTATAAATAATTGGATGGGTGCATGATAGGGTCTCAAAAGAAAACACTGCAAAATCTCATAAATTTCTATTTTCACAATTTTCTTTATTAATCACTCAAAAACACTGTTAATTTAATAAAACTGAGTCTAGATATTGAAAATGTTGATAACAATTGTAATGTTGTTGAGTACACTGAAATTGTCAATTGATTTTACACTTGAGTTATCAATGATTGCACAAATAAATTGAGTAGCCGACGCGAAGCGAGATTGTATTAATTCACACTTAGTTTTCAAAGAGTTTATACAAAGATTGATTTTATTAATCCACTCTGATTTGCTGTGAGCTGTAGCCATTGAGTTGGGCAACGCTTCTCTTGAGTTCACAGCGAGTTGAACTTGATTTGTGAGCAGACCGGGGCAACACACAAGAGGTTAAATTAATTAAATTGCACATGGCTACGTGTAACCTCACTTTCACTCGCCGTGTGCTCGTGCGATTGAGATGAGCCAAAATAATCCCGAGAGTTGAGGTGATGACAAAAAGATTCCATCAGGCCTGCAGTAGACATTATTGCCCTTATGAAAATTTCCTATATGCTTTCGCGAAATTCCTACTGGAATCCTATAGGACTCCTGTAGGAATTTCGCGAGATCCTATAGGAAATTTTTATAAAGGTGGTCTTCAATTGCAGTCTGGATGGTTTCTTTACCTGGTCGCAATCGATGAGTTGACTCCGATTCGCAGACCGATGAGTTGAGCCTTGATGAGTGTAAGGATGAAAAAGGCTTGATGAGTCCTTGTCGAACTGGCTTACGCTTGTTGAGGTGATCGGGAGGAGTCGAGTTGGTGAGAAGTTCTCGTAGATGATGCTCTAAGTAGCGTTGGTTGAGATGACGTCGGGAATATTCTCTGTTGAAAGTAGTCGTCGCACGAGACACACACACGAGATGTTGCTTAGTCGAGTGCAGAAACGAGAAGGACGAGATCGCGAACAATGCGCAGATAGCAGAGATGCCGTCGGCACGTGCCGCGGCGCCATCTATCGCCGCGCAGTGAGAATCCCTCATACGCTTGCACAGCACGTGAACGTGTGCGCGTACAAGCTGCGCGCTCATATCTGTTCGAATATTTCTCGAACACAGCCATATCCGAAAGCCTTGAATGAACCAAGGCCGGAATAGCTGTTCAGAAAGATGGAATTCCGAGTCCCCCGTCTAAACACGGCATGTAGAAGTGTCCAATGGGAACATCTTTTGGTAGCCGTAACCACTTGCGAACTGCAGCGCGTACATGTTGGTCAAGACTCTTAAGAGTCTAAATCCAATGCAAGTTAATCGGCAACCTGCCTGTTGACAAATCTATCTCTGAGATCTCGTAGCAATTCAGTCGCGCGTCGGTAGCCCGCTAATCTGCTTGCCATCCTTTCGGCTTTTCCTACCAATTTAGATTCTAGCGTCGCAACAACCTCTGTTCATCTAAGGGTAGTTGCTCGAGGCGTCGACCGTAGCAAGTGATTTTCGTGAAAAAATTGAAGAAACAGCAGAAGCAGTTGCAACAGAAGCAGTGTCGCAGCAGAGCCGGATTGTAGCATCTTTATAAGATAAGTGATTTGTAATGTAGTTAATAAACAAAATAACCTTATTATTCGAATACTAATATAATACATACATAAATACACATACATGAATTCACCAAGAAAGTGGTAATTTGTCATAAAATTCATGTTTCAGGTGCTACACCTGTTCTTAGGTTATTTTTCATCTTCGACTATCATCAGATCAAGTATGTTTTTTAAGTGTATTTTGTGAAAACCAGCTGTAAGTTGATTCGTAAAAAACCTAGAGTTTTCTTGGTCAATTAGATGTAGAAAATGTTTAATAATAAACCTATCTATGTTAGGTCGCACTTAAAAATGTAATCATTTTTGAAACTTTAAAATAAAATAATTCCTCGATTAAAAATCTGATAATTTGTTATTATTTAATATACATTTCCATACTTTATTACCTAATGAACCATTTTAAAGTAATGCTTGGTACACCTCCTCCGTCAGGTATGAAAATTATTAGGATTCTGAATACAATAATACAATAATACATAATACATTAATACATATATACAATATAAGTATTATATAATACAATACAATAATACAATAATACATATATACAATAACATACAACAATACAATGAAGGTTCTAATACGTAATATATCTTTATTCATGACTAACTTCTGTGGATCAATACACAAAGAATATGCAACTATATCTTATATAAAAAGTACTATTGCAAAATTAATTATAATATCGATTATTTATTGCAGCATTAAAACGATGCCATAATAGAGATGTGATGACTTGTAAGTTGATGAATCGCCAAATTTTAAACCAAGAACTGTTAAGTGGGTGAGTACTATTTGAAAATTACTTTCATTTATTATTTAGTACCATCGGGCATGGTTAGAACTGATAGAAAGTAAAATGGGTAACCTAAGTTCCCTATACGGCCGAGGTAGCCGGGCGTAAGGTGACTGATAAAAAACCAGAAAGAAATATTCAGTGAACTCTTACATTGAATTAATTTAATAAACTTGGATTTATGTCATCTTCTCAAAACTCAAATTAAAAAATTTTGAAATAAAAAAAATCATTTGAGATATAAAATGTATCATCATTTTGAATGTTTTTAAGCATAGTAAAGTTATATACAGGTTTCTGATATCTCGTCCTAGGATGACTAAGGCTCCGACAACTTACCCTTACAATAACTCAAACTCCGTTAAATGGTTCCTAGCTAAGCTTACCCTTAAGTTTCAACACGTTTGATTTTCAGTTTTATACTTCGTGCTTGTGTTCAAAATTATTTGCTTCAATGAAATACAATGAAATGAAACTTTGTTTTGTATTCAGACCCTGCTGAAAAAAATCATGGGAAAATCATATGATGTATTGGCATGATTAATCATATAATTTTTTATGATTTATCATATGATTTTTCCCAGCAAGCAAACCCTTATTTTAATATAAAAACCACTGAAGAGGAGGTGTCAAAATATAATTTAAAGCCTGAATTTATTAATGTCATTGAAAATGAATAAATACGTTTGAAAATAGCTAAAATAATGTACATTTAGAGCACAACAATTTGAATAATTTGAAGTGAATTATAAATCTGCCGAACTGTTGAATCATCAAACTGCCTGAATTTGTACCGTTTTGTTAAAGATTAGCACCAATATTTTCTTGATGATAAGATAGCATTGTTATATCTGAATTTTCATGCTTACTACTTTTTTAATTCACTTCAAACTCTTTTAAATGATTCAAATTGTTGTGCTCTAAATGTACATTATTTTAGCTATTTTCAAAAGTATTTATTCATTTTCAATGACATCTATAAATTCAGACTTTAAATTATATTTTGGCACTTCCTCCTTTAGCGAATTTTCGCATTTTGAATCGAATCCCCCGAAGGTGTTGCTGCTTCATGCTTTACCAATGACACACCTCCATATATCAACCTCCACACTCAAGCAGTATTCAAACTTTGGAAAAAGCCATCAAGAATCTCGACCAAAACATCACCAATCTCGGGCTCTCCATCACTCCACACAAGTCTGTTTTTACATTTCAGCAGAATAAGAAAGTCAATCAATCGGCAAATCAGGACTAACCCTTAAACGCCCAAAGTGACGAAATTTTTCGTTCGCGATCGATGCGATTTTTTTAGACCTTGAAGAGACTTCGCATTTACATAATTTAATGTAAAATTTAATGTCCTTACGGATTCCAGGCACAAATTCAAGATTTGATGCTTCGTTGAAAAGTTCTGATTGTTTAAACAAAAAAAAAACTTAAAAATTTGTGCATAAGATCGAATTTTTTTCGAACTGTTGCGGTGAAAAACTCATGATGCAAATATGATCAGAGATGATCATGAGTATAGAAATACCTTGGGGAATTTTAACAGATTTTTCCAACCACTTTTTCTAACAAAATGGTGGCTATGAAGTCAAATGTTTATCATAAACAAAACTCAATTTTTATCTTGAAAACCATTTGCAGTGCATGAAAAAAGTTTATAAAACAATTCTAAAACTTTTTTGTTTTATTAAATTTTTCTCTAAACTCTATGGTTTTCAAGTAAAAAATCATAATTTCTCACCTGTACCTGTATTTTCTTGCATGATCTTATGCATGAACAGTTTACTTTATGGCCGCCATTTTGTTAGAAAAAGTGGTGGAAAAAATCGGTTAAAATTCCCCAAGGTACTTCTAAACCCATGATATCCTCTGATCATACTTATGTTATGGGTTTTTCACGGCAACAGTTTGTATTAAAATCTCAAAGCGAATATTTTTGCTCAAATTTTTACGTTTTTTTTTGTTGAAACAATCATCACTTCTTAACGAAGCATCAAATCTAAAATTTGAGCTCAAATTCTTGAAAGGCATTAAATTTTACATAAAATTATTTTTAAAAAATCACATCTAATGTGAACGAAAAATTTCTCTTGGGGCGTTAATGGGTTAAATCTCACTCGCTATCGGCACAAAGCAGTGTCGAATTACCGGGTATCACGTTTGACCCAAGACTGGATTTCAACTTACAGGTAGATGAGGTTGACAATAAGTGCATGACAGCACTCAACATCATGAAAGTACCTTTGCAGCACGTGGTGAGGCTCTCACCCAGATACCCTAATGATTATCTACAAAAGGTATGTCAGGTCTATACTCGACTATGGCAGCTTTATATATTACTCAATACTAAACTGGAGAAAATGCAATACGCAGCAATCAGATTCGCGCTAGATCGCAGCAGCACTCCAACCAATATGCTATTGAGTGAAGCCAAGCTCCCTTCAAATCGTGATCGTGCTAATTATTTCGCATTTTGCTACATCTTAAAAACAATGAGTAACCCAAAATCCGTAACATCCAGCTTTTTCACCTCATATCTAACTTCACACTTAAATATCAATAGCCATCTTTTATTACTTGACTGTTTATCAAAATTTCACCGTCTCAAACTTCCTTTTCATCGGGACAAACAATTCAATCCATACACGTACAACTACCCAGCCACATTCTCTAAGCCCAGCTTCGACCTCAACCTAGGATTTAAGCTTAAAAATGCTGAAAATTGGAACCACCTGTTCGAGGACTACCTAAAAAAACACGACATAGCCGTAGATATTTACACTGGTAATAAAATCCCAGGGCTTTCTCGGTGGTAGCCACCATTTTTTGCCCCATTTTCTTTCCAAGACCCTTGGACTTGGTAAACACTGCTAAAATCTTGCCATTGGTAACTGCCTCACGTATCCTAACTGCGACCACATCATCTTCACAGATTCTCTGATAGCGCTGCATAGTAGGATGGAGCGAAATGATCGAACAATTTTAAATCACTTTCTAATAGCGTTAGAAGTGAATCTTTTACACTTGCTTCACTTTTTAACACTTCCACAGTCACAGCAACTTTTCCACACGCATGGAAGATCGCTTCTATCATCCCACTATCCAAAACCTCATCATCTTGATCTCCAAATTATACTCGCTCCATAGCCCTCGTATCTGAGTTGTCTAAAGTGCTTGAACGCGTTGTTCACAAACAACTCACATCCTAACTAATCAATTGTGATCTCCACTCCCCTTAAAGGGAGTTGTACACCAATTCACTCCTCTTTGGCATTTTTATGATGTAAATCAAAGTTTCATGTCAATCTATATTTTCAACATTAAATTGACCTCTTTAAGCTTTAAAAAATGTGGAAAAAGTTGCAGAATAGGCCTTTGCATCTAAAAATAGCTTATTTTTGCTATTTTAGTCTTTCAGCCCTGAGTGCAAGGTTAACATCAGCGTTTTTGAGGTAGGGTAGGTACTCCTGATAAATAGTATATTACGTGACAAGGGATGAAAGTCGAACTTCCGTCCCTGCGAGGTTATGCACCCGAGGCGAAGCCGAGGGTGCAAGCTCGCAGAGACAGGCGTTTGACTTTTGTCCCGAGTCGCGTATACGATTTTTCTTTATCCCCGCTCGAAAGTACGTTTGCTTAACATAGTTAAGAAATATTTTATTAAAAAAAATTGTATCCATGAATTTACGCTTACATGGCAAAGCCCGCCGACATTTGCGGCCCGAGCGCAGCGAGGGCTGCTGGTCGACGGCGGGCTTTGCAACAAATATCATCAATAATAATGTTTATTAGTACATAACTAATTTTATTAACAAACAATTGTAAATCATAGATAACTATGGCGTTTATAAAATACAAACGATCCCGTAAAGTATAAGCATGAATTAGTACCATATCAATTAAGTAATTCACTCAATCTGAGGTAGACAAGTAGAAACTTGAGAGACCTAGAATAATGTTTAAAGTTGAAAGAATTTTTCAAAATATATTATAAAAATTAACATATTTTGACTGTCTTTGTTCTCTTAGATCTCATTTTTTATTGCAACTACCATCTTTAACGATTTAAATTTCGGATTGGAATTGAATGTAATGAAATGTGCACGTCAAATTATGGCTATTCAATTTTGATACTTCATAGAATTGTTAGTCTTTTAATATTTATTCAATTTGGCATATGTACGTCATAAACAAAGTGAATATAATTCATCTATTGCATAGTCGAAACCAAACGATAATTGAAATGTAGGTTGCCGTAGTCATGGAGATAATAACTTTCGCGCGATATTGACGGGGAGCAAAAGTATTACTTTCGTCCCCGAATTCGAAGATGAAAGTACGTACTTTCGAGCATGGGATGAAGAAAAATCAAAATCTTCAGAAAAGTATCCTTTATGGGTTGAGTTTTCTGGAATCTTGTTTTAGACCTTTATATCAGTTTTATTATTCAATACGTGCTCAAAATATCAATAAATTTTCTTATTTTTTGCTTCTTCACATCTGTTGGCATACAAACTTTTTATAACTTTAATTAAAGTTCTAGAAAACTCAGCCTATAAAGAATACTATTCTGAAGATTTTGATCCCAATCAGGAATCTCTACCTCAAAAGCTCAGATCTAAAACTTGCGCACAGTGCCGAAAGGCTAAAATAGCAAAAATTATTTTTAAATGCAAAAATAAAAATTAAACTATTAAAAAAAAAACTATTTAAATAAAATTTAAAGGGGGGAAGGCACTGTGCGCCCAAATCTAAAAAAACAAAATTTTTTTTCATTGACTTTTTTGATAGGATTTTTCCTCGGCTTTCCAGTGCCGTGATCGGAATTTTAAAATGTTAACTGTACCGTGACGTACAGGTTATTTAGTACCGATACTTTTACGATTATCTAGAAAAAATGAATGAAACGACTCAAAGATATATCGTGGCCAATCTGTCATGATTTCGAGACTTTCATAAGTCCGTAGCGCCATCTATTGATACTCGTTTTATTCTTTGGTTAGAGTACATCCAGCAGAAATTTGTTTGTTTACACGGCTATAGGTTTACAGTAACGCCACCACTCGCAACACGTGGGTTTCGGCATATCTTCTGTCTCTCTCTGTTTCGTGCACGAGCTCTGATCAAATGTCAACAACAGTCTGCTGACTGCTTCTTGATTTTCCAATGGCTAAAAATTACATTTTTTTTTAAGTGAAAAAAGTATATGTAGAGTGCAATTATATCTTTGCAACTCAACATAGTGTTTCATAATAAAGTTATGAAGAAGTTTCAATAGCTTGTTATAAAAATGTGACATTTTTAGCAGTTCTAATTCAAGAAATACAGAAGTACATATGTAAATTGACATATATACATCAGTGTATATGTATGTCACTGTACTTTATGTATGTGTATATGACTGTATCATATATATTATTGTATGTTGCAGGTGATGAACAAGATTAGTGATAATTGATCAACTTGTAGTGATTTATTTCCAAGCATCTAGTGATAAATGTTTTATGAATGTCAGTGAATAGGTAGAAGACTGGGTTCAAGTTCTAATGTGAGATTGTGTATATTTGTGTGAAAAGTTGATTTGGACATAATCAACTTAGTTACCAGTTTCCACATAAAACCCATATTAGGGTATACTAATATTTTAGTACAACTTATAAAATGTAGTAATGAAATTGGCGCATTTGGCTTTGTGTGGCTGTCTGCGATAATTGAACATTGTCCTTGTGGGTCCAATATGTTGAAAATTCAAATTGAATTACTGTTCTTTATCGTCCAAAAAGTTTTAAGCAGCCTCAGTGACATGAGAGTATCATTATGACATATATTGATGTATTTTGGTTTTTTTCAACTCTTGGGCAGTTACGTTTTATCTCAAAATTGCTTGCATGCCGTAACTTTTAATGAGAACCGTTTGAGCAATTGAGCTGAAACTTTCAGGGGTTGTTCTACATATGAATGGCTACAAACGCAAACACTTTCAAAGGTATTGGACAAAATTTGCACTTTTTCAGGCTACATCCCCAGCATAATTGTATTTTATTATATAGTATTAATGAATAAATGTGCATATGTGGCTGGCAAATTGTGTATAACTAATTAAAAAATCTGAAAGTGCTTGCGTTTGTAACCACACATCTAATGATCAAAATGAGACCCCAAGGACCATGATTGAACCATCGGTTCTAGCTGGATCCTACGGCACAGGGGTACCTGTCAGGACTGACGGCTTGCTTCATCGAGGAGGGTTCTATGGTGATTGGGACCTCAATTTTCATATTCCAGAGAGAAAAACTTTGAAAAAAGAGTGAAGAAAACTTTGAAAAAGAAGAGTTTTCTCTGTATATTCCAAAAAAAATTTTTTTCTTTATAATTAATAAATTTTTCATAAATGTAGGTTTAAGGTACCTTTCCCCCCTTAAACTATTTTTAGATGCATAGGCCTATTCTGCAACTATTTCCACATTTTTTAGATCAAAGATGTCATTTTTATCATAAAAATGTAGATTGACACTAAACTGTGATTTATATCACAAAAATGCCGAAGAAGAGTGAATTGGCGAAATTACTCTCCTTAACAACCTGGTTTCCAACCGACTGGAAAAACTCTCAACCCTATCGTACTACATCTGGAGTACTTCAAGGAAGTGTTCTAGGTCCACTACTCTTCCTCATATACATGAACCCCCTCCCCTTCATTCTCTCTCATTCATACGCTATTATTTTTGTCGACTATACCCAAACGATTGCCCATGCCCCACTGTCCCAGTTCAGTGATTTGGTGATCAACATTAGTGCTGATGCAAATGCTGCATACCAATGGGTCATAGCCAACGGCCTTAGTTTGAATGCTCAAACGCTGGATAGATCTACTTTAAGAAATTCAAGTTTAATACAATTATAATTTGTGATTACTATACAATATTTCAATGACTCTTGAATTCATTAAAATTTTTATTAAAAGGAGTATAACACTGATGGTAGAAGTAGGAAACTTTCCAAATGATAACATTCAATACAATCCAGGAGATCATTTGGGAGTATTCCCCTGCAATAATGAAAACATGGTTGATAATATACTTCGAAGACTCGAGAATTCTTTCGATTTTGACACTCCAATTGATTTACAAATTCAAAAACAAGTACACACACCAAATGGTAAGTTCTTTTTTATTTGAAACGATGATAAAATTTTTCTAACTATAATCTATAATATCGAACTATCTACTTATTTGGTTTTCTTACAAATCTCGTTGCAGGACTAAATTTTGACTAACTTTTGACCTTAGACATTGAAAAGTTATACTTACTTAGTTCGCTACTAGAAAATTGTGACCGATAAAATTGACTTAATTCATACAGCAATTATTAAAACTTAACGCCTATGAAAAAAATTAGATTTCCCAAAAGATAAAAATATTTTCTTTTGCTTTACGATATAATTTTTAAAATGAATACTGAGTCCTAACGTTTTCACTTGACTTAAAGCATATTTTTTTAAACCATATCTGATATTGAGCGCTAATAGGGGGCTTAATTATTTTTCATTTTTCATTTACAGTATTAAGCTGTAAAAGTAAAAAAAAATTTTTTTTCAAGAACTCACATGATAACCCTTTTCAATACCCTATTTGAAAGTACAGCTACTTGTCGTAGAATTCCAAGAGACAGTATCAATCTATTGTGGCCTATGTGGTTTCATTTTGTTCGATAGCCAATTGGCCATGGTCGCAACCAGAAGTTAGACATAAGATGAACTTTAGCTCCTGGTGTGTACAATTTTCTAGAATGTAGTATTCATTTTGAATCATGTCCATAAATTAATTTCACTTTGTTATGTGTACAGTAAGTAAGTAGGCGACTGGGCCCTCGTATGGTGAACAGCACGTGCAATACGTATCAAGAGTCTATTATACACTTTTTATACCGCCTTGCGCCGCTACGAGAGTTAGCTGACACACGAGATCATAATACCTGGAGGCCCGACGCCGGCAGCAATGTACTGCAAAATGCTGACGTTACACATGCAGCGGATGAAGCCGAAGATGTGCAACAATGTCACGATTCGGACTCTGCATCTGATGCTGCTTCCCGGCGAGCTCGAGGTTCCACTTCCACACTTGAGTCCTCGGTATCTTGTTCTCTTAACGCACTCGTGCGGGGATCGTCTCTTGGTGCTTCGTTATCCGTATCGGTTTCGGATAGACCTTCTATGGGCTGGAGTGGTGGTTGCCTTATAATTCAATTTAAGATGGGTTTACTGTTATTTCTAGGGGGCATGGACGATCTGGTGCCACCTTTAGAATGTTGTTGAGAGATTTTTGGAGGCGTTTTTTTAGGAGTCGTTCTTAGATCGTCAATTTTTGTTTGACCCCTTGTTCGTTTCGCGATGCAGCTTTCGTTGGGGTCTATTGCGTATTTCTTATTAAGGGTTCCTGGGGGTCTTCCTATTTTGGACTTTGGCACTTTTGGGGCTTCGAGCTTACTACTAGGAAGGGATTTTGATCGTTTTAGGTTAGATTTGGGCTTCTCCGCGGTGGCCGTGGGGGTTTAACCTGTTGGCTTCGAGGTAGGCGTAGTTTTCGGGTTGTATTTTAACCTTAAGATTTGAAAGATTTTGGTTTAAATCCCTTTCTGGTGGATTTCTGGATAGCCCATCAGCTACTACATTTTCTTTTCCGGATTTGTATTTGAAGTCATAGTCATAGTCGAAGACTTTAAACATCCATCTCATTAACCTTTATCCCGGGTCTTTGCGACTATGCATCCAATTTAAAGGTTTCGTGATCAGATTGTAGGGTAAATTTGCATCCTAATTAGTAAGGTCGATATATTGACATAGCATACAATGCGGCTAAGCACTTCTTTTCTGTGGTAGTATAGTTTATTTCGTGCTTGTTAAGTGATCTTGATAAATAGCTAACTGGGAGATCGTTCCCGTCTACATTTTGACTTAGAACTGCGCCTATGGCGTAGTCAAACGCGTCTGTGGTGAGCGTAAATTTCTGGTTCATGTCGGGAAACTGTAGTATAGGCGCACTGCTCAAGTATTGTTTGAGTGTAAGGAAGCTGGTCTCGCATTCTTCAGTCCATTCAAAGGGTTTGTTTTTTTTAGTCAGATTACTGAGTGGCGATTTTCGAGTAGTCTTTAATGAATCGTCTGTAATATCCTGTGGTTCTGAGATATTGTCGAATTTGTTTCACGTTCATTGGTCGTGGCCAGTTACTAATGGCTCCGATTTTCCTAGGGTCAGGCTCAACTCCCTTTTCACTCACTATGTGCCCGAGGAATCCGGCTTCTTTATGCAGTAGATGCACTTTATCTGTTTGTAGTACTAAGTTTGCCATTTGGAGTCGGTCCAGGAAGAGCTTTGTCTTTCTCTGATATTCGTGGAGATTCTTGGCGTAGATAATTACTTCATCTAGATACACCAGCATCTCTACAACTTGTAACCCCCTTAATACATTGTCCATGAGTCTTTGGAACGTACTAGGAGCCGATTTTAGTCTGATTGGCATCCGTATATACTGATAATGCCCTTGCAGTGTCGAAAATGCGGTTTTCCATCGATCTGTCTCTTTAACTGGGATCTGATGAAATCCTGAAGCGAGGTCGAACGTGGAAAAATAGGTTGAGCCTCCCAGTTGGTTAAGAATATCCGCTATGTTGGGGAGGGGATAGGCATCGCCTATCGTCTTTCCATTGAGTTTTCTAAAATCCATGACAGCTCTCCATTTTCGTGGTTGTCCTGGAGCGATCTTTTTCGGAACTATCCACATATGAGAATTCATAGGGTTACTAGATGGCTCAATAATTCCACCTCGTAATTTCTTTTCTACGTCCTGTTGGGCTACCTTCTTGTGTATGGGAGGATGTCTGTATTTCTTGGTATTAATTGGTATATTATCGGTAGTAGGGATCTCGTGTTCGACTAAGTTAGTGCAAGGAAGGGAATCTCCAGGAAGGATAAATCTGTCTGGATACTGGGTTAAAAGACTTCGCACGTGTTGCTGTTCCTCTTCATCCAAATGTTTGGTGTCTAAGATTTCTAATATCTTTTCTATTCTGTCCTCTTTTCGAAGTGTCGGGTTCGCCTCTTCATCCGAAGAAGAATTAAACCCATCGCTTAGACAATCATAATCTACTATCCCTTGGGATGGTATCTCAACTTCGACGTCTTCGTACGAGGTATTCAATGCGAGTACCTGACAAGAGTCGTTTTGGTTTGTTACTATTGTTACGTGGGGCGAGGATGGAGAGGGGTAAAATAATTTAGATATAAGAGTTATGATGATAGTATGCAAGAGAGAGAGAGAGAGAATAATGCAGCGCTCGTGGCTGCGTAACTGGACTATTGGACGAGGCGCGACGAGATAATTAATAAGCTATGCTCATTACCTCGTCGCGCGTGACGCAAGCGCGGAGTCACTGGTGGGGCCCAGCGGTCCCACGTGATACGACTTGAGTTGCTACGCGCCGACCGCGGCGCGAATAAGTAGCAGAATTGCAAAAATCTTTTATTTACTGCCTCTCTCCTTAACGATTTTTTTATTAATAATTCCAAAAAATATATATAAACCAAATCAAATAAATTATATAATATTATTATTATATTTTTTTTTCTATTTTTTTTTTAACTTTTATTTAAACTGACCTGCGAGTGGTCAGGCTTATGATTAATAATATTTAAGCTTAGATTGGCCTGCGAGCGGTCAGGCTTACAAATACAAAAAAAAATTTTACCTTTACATTCCACTGTTCCCATATTCAAAAAAAATGACCAAAATAATTAACTAATTTTATATTGGCAATTCCACATTTATAATTAATCAAACACAAAAATTTAATCAACTTATAAATTTAAACTATTACATCAATAACCATTAACTTATTCAATATAAATTATTTCCAAAAAAAACCCAATTTTTAACTATCATAATTTTAACAAAAATTACTCTTTAAAACCAATTTCAAACTATTACATTATAATCATTACAAATTTCCATATAAAATTAATCATTTCCAAATAAATACATTACTACTTACTACTAATTTTAATACAAAATCATTTCTCACACTCATTTCAATTAATACATTTAATCCTTAATAATTCAATTCAACATTACTTTCCAAAACTCTTCCAAACCAATACATTATTAATTACTAATGATTTTAGTATAAAATCATTTTTTTTTTTTTTAACTCATTTTAACTACTATATTTAATCATTAATAATTCAATACAAAATTACCACAATACCAAAATCTATTTCAAACTAATACACTAATTCCAATATCAAATTATTATTTAAAATCCCAATTATACTACTAACTTCATACCTATTACAAAATAAGCTATTATATCAAATATTAATTCTAATAAGCATACATTTTTTTTTTCTCTTCTTTTTTTCAGCAATCATATTAGAATTTACTTATAGTTGTAATATATGTTGTTTACTTTCAATTTTTCTTCTTACTTATACAAAATATTAGTATGATTTCTATAATTCTATGATTATTTCTACAATATATTCATTGTAATATTATGATATTATTGTCTGCAATATTATTGTGGTATGAATCATCGTTCGTACATCCGTATCGAAGGAAGCTTTTTGTTTTTTCATTGCCTCACGCCGCGCGCATGAGTGCTATTAAGCACTCTGCTTTCAATGTCGATAATACGTTCTGCGCTATTACCGACTGGATTGAGTGAGCTTCGCGATGCGATATGATTCGCGTTTTGAACATTCTGTAGATTTCGCGGCGGGACGATTGGAGCGCTCGGTGTAATTGACTGATTTCTACCGTTCAAATTATTGTCAACGTCATTATTGTTGTCATTGTCATGTCTGTCATTGTTGTTATTCGTGGCTAGTCTCCCGATATGAATCAGCATTGTCGTGATTGAGCCGAAGAAGGCACCCAACAAGCGAAAACTCCATCCGTATATTGAATACAGAGTAACGCCGTGGATGACTGTATCGATGACTAGCTTTATAAGTTGTATTACTACAACACAGCCTGCTACGCCGGCGCAGACTGCACCGAATTCGATGAAGCCTGCGTAAAGTGATCGAAAGTATGACCGGGACATTTTGTTGAAAGTGTCCTCGTCTAGTAATTTTTGGAAATTTCCACTCTCGGCTGTGCGTGGTCTGTCGGCTAATCGTCTCACTACTGATTCTAGCAACGCTTGTCTTTTTAACGGGAATGCCATATGATCCTCGAGCTTTTCTAGCTCTTCCGCTGAGTAAATTCCCGATGTCATGA